GCAGGTGCATAGTTCCTTGAAATTGGAGTCGCAGGTAGACAGGGTGGTGAAGGTGGTGTTTGGCACGCTTGCCTTTATTTGTCAGATCATTGCATATAGGAGTTGGGATGTCATGTTGCGGCTGTACAGGACATTGGTGAGGCTTTTTTTTTTAAGAATACTGCATTCAATTCTGGTTGCCCTTCTACAGGAAAGATGTTGTTAATCTTGAGAGGGTGCAGAAAAGATTTAAAGGTTTATTGTCAGGACTGGAGAGCTTGAGTTATAGGGAAAGGCTGAATAGGCTTGGGCCATTTTCTCTGGAGCATCCGAGGCGGAGAGGTGATCTTGTAGAGGTTTATAAAATAATGACTATCTTTAATCAGTCCTTGCCTTTCCAAATGCATGTAAATCCCGTGGATAGAGTGAATAGATAAGGTCTTTTTCTTGGGGTGGGGGAGTCCTAAACTGGAGGACATAGGTTTAAAGTGAGCGGGGAATGATTTAAAAAGGACCTGAGGAACAATGTTTTCATACAGATGGTGGTGCATGTATGGAATAAACTGCCATAGGAAGGGGTGGAGGAGGGTACAATTACAACACTTAAAAGGCATCTGGATAGGTAAATGAATAGGAAGGATGTGGGCCAAATGCTGGCAAATGGGACAAGCTCAGACTGGTGTGGACAAGTTGGACCAAAGCATCTGTTTCCGTGCTGTATGACTGAGTTGAATGCCACTGACCCTCCCCGAAAGGACTGGAAAGCAGAGAAAGAAAACGTCAGTGATCTCCTGTGTTCTACAAAGGTTCTTCAATGGCACCACCTCATCTCTGCTCACTCACTCTGTCGCCACACAGGCATCTCACAAAAGTTCACAGTCTACAAGACTGAGCATTATGTGTATGATGGGCACTCAAAGGCTCACAATTGTCTCAACCTCTGAAACCTTTCAGCCTACTCACCCTGCCACTTTGCATGGAGAAGAATGCTCACAAACTGCTCCTGGGCCCATACCCATCATACTCTATCCCTTCTCTGTGGGTCATTGCAAGAGAAAATTGGCCCTCATTGGAACTTTGCGAAAAGGGCTGTTGAATTGGCCAGAGAAGACCAGGACTGTTCCCGTGGTGCATCTTAGTTGGATGGACCTTTATTTGGGACGGAGAGGTCAGTTCTAGTGAGTAGGGTAGTTAATGAGATGTAATTATATGCAGGTTGGCTTCTCACCACCTGATGGCGAGAAATAGTTCTTGCCACAGAGGGTTAATTGCATATATTGAACTCGATGGCAAGAATCTGATTTTTGGACTCTTGCCCAATTAACTCCTTATGCTATGCTCACCAATATTCTTGCCACATCAGGGCGTGCCCAGTTGCGCCCCGTGAGTCATTAGCAGTTCTGCTTGATTTGCAACTTGCGTCTCTGTTATGTTTGTAATGTGTTGAAAAATGCCCTGGAAATTTTGCATTGTGGTGGAAAGTGAGTTTATGCTGATGGTTTCCCTTTTGCCACACAATGTGATTTCAAAGAGAATAAAAGTATTGCCCAAAAGCTGGGAATGGAAGTTTTTGAATAAGATGAGAGGTGGAAAGGCAGAGATGCTGAGAAGTAGATTCCTTGTTAAAGATGGCTTGAGGAACAACCAGTGGTGGAAGTTGGGGAAACCAGAATAAAGTGCATAGAGAGACAGAGTGGCAGATCACAGAGCTAGGGATAGGCTAGTCTGACGATTCTATTGCTTTCAGACATGTACTTTGTCCTGGGTTGTGTTTATTGAAGAGAGGTTGAGACCGAGATAATAAGCGGTCTTCCTGGCCAATAAAATAAACAGCTTGTGAGGCCTTGGAGTTTTTTATTTATTTAAAAAAAAGTTTGGAGCAATAGAAGCAGCACCAATGGCTGAAGTTAGGCTCCCACAGAAATAGGGTTTTAGTGTAGCTTCAGTAGTTGTTGGGGCTTTGAAGTTGGTTTTAGAAGCTGTTACATCCTTCTGCGTTACAGCTAAAAAGGTGCAGTTCGGTCTCTGTCTCTCTGCCAGAATTGCAGGAGAGATGGTCTATTTTACTGAATTTGCCTTTGCCAAGGGGGTGTTTGAGATGGATAGTATGAGATGTTATAGTAACATCTATATTGGAACAGTTACTGTTTAGTAGTCAGATAATCTGTTATTCTATTAAGTTTTCCAATAGAGTTTAGTTCTTCCAATTCTTTGTATTTTTGTTTGTATTTTAATTGGGGGTAAGAATATGGTTTTAAATACTGACATGGTATTCATGTCAGTTACTCTGTCTAGTAGCAAGTTCCAAATTCCCGTAACTCTTTGGATGAAAACATTTTCTGTTTGATTTCTTGGTGACTATCTTATATAGATGGCCTCTAGCTTTGCACACTCCCACATATGGAAATTTAAACTCTGTGTCTAAATGTTTCAAAATCTTTCAGAGTCCTAAACTAATAATCTGCGATAAGGTGATGTGGTTATTTGTTTTCTGTCTCAAGGCCACTTCTTGCCACCCATTTTTTAAGTGTCAATTGACAAGTGTTTATAAGTCAGTTCTCTTATATGCTGGATCACCTAAGCAGAAAATATTGTTTAATCTAAATACTGTTGTTAGAGTTCTAATGAAAATTGGTTTAGTTACAGAAAAACAAGTCTTCCCATATGAACTGTAGATTAGTTGATACTTTCAATAGTAAGGTATGTGGTATTTATTGGTGACTTCTTTGGACAATGATAATAAGTTTAACTTGCACCACAACAATCTTAGACTATGAGGAGGAGATTGTACCCTTGCTTCAAGAAGGTACTTTATGGCATAGAAAAGGAAGCTTAAGGGATGAGATTTCCATGGACTCCTCGATGGCCTGGCTTTTCATAGCAATAGAAGTCCACCTTTTGAAATCCACAGTGGATCTGTGGATTAAGAAAAAAATTGTCCATCGTTAAAATTAAATCAAAATGTAGCTAGAAGTAGATTGGTTTTCTGGGGTGGGTGTAAAAAAAGTGTGTTTAACATAATTATTGTAAAATCCAGTTAACACATTTATTTTTTGATGATATAGATTGATTTTGGATAGTAACTTAAACATAATTGGAGAATCATAAAATTCATACAACCAGCAGGTGCAATTCACTGAACCTTGGATTCTGGTGAGAGTATGTAAAATTTTTTTTTGTTTTGAAAAGTACTATGAGCCATCCATATGCAAACTAATTATTTTTGCTTAGATATTAAATTGATATATGAATCTAAAATTACATATCTTGTAACGGTCTTGCAATTAGATCCACTTCCTATTTAAATATGCATTTAGGCTTTCTCACTTTTACCATGGTAATGTGCTGAACAAACCTAGATTTCATGTGGAACAGAATTTCAAGTCAATATTTCAATTACCCACCGAGTAACCTCAAACCTAAAATATATTTCGGTGGATATTTTTGTTGCAGTGTTTGTGTTGTCATTGATACAGTAGCAATAGTCTTCTATGGAACAAGTTCCAAACTAATTAATAACCGTACAAGTTGCCATACGTAACCAAGAAGCCTGACACTCATGACTTTCACCAGTTATGTGGGGTCAGATTCAGTTGCAATTTATTGTCAATGAACATATTTCAGTAAGTTCAGAGTTTTCTGCTAATTATTGCATTTCCACAGTTGCCTTCAAAACATTTGATATTTTTACGATTTTTGTACTTCCACTTCTTTCTAAACAAAGATATTTTGGTCATATCAAGTTTCAGTGTTTGGATAGAAGAAGCCTAAAGGGTTAAAGATGTATGTTTATCCAAAATCAGTAATGTTCTCAAATCATTAAATGAATCAACTTGTTATGAATTGACTTGCTACAATTTTTTTTTCCATTTACCTAGCAGCTACAGTGTTCTAGGGATACTAGAGCATGAATTGAGCACAAATTACATAAAGTTGCTAGCATCAACATTAGCACACTGTTACGTTCAAGTATATATTCTATGGCTGGAGGATGTGTTTTGCTTATGCATCCTACAGGGGAGTTCTGAAATAATTTTATTCTGGAATTTTTGAAAACATTATTTAAGCATGAATTAATTCCAATATGTGTTTTATTTTCTGTCTTCAGTGTGGAGAATTTTCTTTGTTGTTGTCACAAGACTGAATCTGTATTCTACTGATCATCATTGTTTTTACTGTGTAATGCTGTTTCATCTGGATCAGCAGTTAATTCTAATTTTGTGTCAATTAACTGCATTCATGTAATTGAGGCTAATAGAAGTACATGACAATCCCCTGCCAATATTCTGCATTTCATAATCTAATGACAGCGGAGATCTGACAAAACAAGTTGAAGCTTATGTTTTAAGAAATATTTTCTGTCACTTAGTGTTCTGTATGTACGGCATTCCTTTTTTTTCCCCTCCTTAAATCTTTGATACTGTTGTCATGCATGCTGACAAAGGTTCAACACTGTTCTAATTAGCCTCAAGGAACTGTTTGGAATCGGGGTTTTTTTGGAAGAGTTCCATGCATTAAATTGACCCTTCTGCATGTCCCCCTATTATTCATAAGTTGATCTCTGATAGCACTGTGCAAGCTCTGCTGGGTGCTGGTAGCAGAACATGAGTAGCTGGCAGAGATGTAGCCTAAATTTGGGACATTTATCTTATTATGCTCTGTAGTCAGCCAAGCTAGGTAGCTAATAAAATCACAATCAAAGCAGGCTCTCTGGAATTTGAAAGACCTTCTGATATTCTGGCAACACATCCAGATGACAATTTACAGCTTGTAGGAGGTTATGGTAGAAAACTGTCTTGAAGCTAAAGGGTGTGCCAAATATTCTCCTTTTTTCCTAACTGGAGGAGGGAAAAGGGGGAAGCCTTGAACAGTTCTCACTGGCCCTAATCAACATAACAGCCTCAGCTGCCCCTTGGATCCCCTGCCAGGTCCCTATCATCTTCTGATCAAATATTAATGTGTGATACTCTGCTTGCTCGCTAATCCAAAGCCAATTAATATTATCTGTCAATTATTTACAGATCCTGAGGTGCGGAGACAATTCCCTGAGGACTACAGCGACCAGGTTTGGAATGCGTAATTAACTTTTTTTAACATAGCAAAATTTATTTCAGAGTCACTCAAGATATCACTGCTGTTCAGTTTAATGAAGGAGACAAATGAATTTTTTGGGGAAGAGATGGGGGTGATAATTAAGAGCCACTGATGAAGATGATGATGACATTGACAGTTTGAAAAAATATACAGTAGGAGGCAAAATTTGCAACCCAGCTTGGCTTTTTCAAAGCAATTCTCTGAAGTAAAATCCATGCTTACGTACATGGACAACAGATTTCTTTGAGTTTTCTTTGTAGCTGATATCTGGCAAATAGCAGTTTAAATGACAAATTGGAAGTTCAAGAAAAAGAGCATTGGTAGCATGAGATTCAAACATTGCCACTGTGAAATTTATGAAGTCCTAATACATGACTGCACTAGAACAGTTTCTCTAATCAGTTCTCTTGATGGCAGTTCTGAAAAAAATGCTGATTATTGTTCGCATTATCCCATTAGGATATTAAATGTAGAGTGATACAAGCTTATTCTTAATTGCTTCCAAGCTGAAGAATCATTGAAACATAAAATATGACGAATCCTTCCATTTATTTTCCTCTTCCTTTCTGGATGTCCAGGACTAAGAGTGAACTATGGATCTCTCTGCGTTAAGATATTTTTGCGATGATCGCTAGGAGGCATGCGAGAGCTGCTTGTGTTTTGTTGCTCTTTTAACCCACCTCTGTCCTTGAGGGAATGGCCCGAATTTGACTGCACGCAGCCTTTTGATACAATGGAAAGATCTGTATTGTTGTTCTATATCTTTCACACTTATTCTTAGTTTAAATTTATTATACATACTTAAAGCAATAAAAAAACTTTACATTTAGAAATTCTCCCCGACGATCCTTCTCTCCCTGCCACAAAATCATCCCAAAAATCATTATAATCATATTGATCCTTTTGGTAAAGGTGTGGAATTATTGCCGATGTACTCCAGTTGTCTTTTGGCACCACAGAGTGTGGCCATTCTCAATATGTGAGGCATTCAGTGAAGTCTGCCACCCTCCAATATACCCTTGTCTAGGGGAGTCTGTCCTCGGTCTAAGGTTTTGAGCTGAATGATATCATTCCTATTACAAATAGCTTAGATGAACGAAGGTTTGGGGGAACAGGCATATTTAAGGAAATGTGGCAGTATTTGAGCTGATCGGGCTGAAACGAATGAGGAACTGAAGATACTACAATCTGACACACACCAAGGATCTGATGGTCTACATTCTATGCTTATGAAAGAGACAAGAGCAGGGATGGTAGTTACTCACTCTGGTTATAATTTTCCAAAATCCCCAAGATTCCTGAAGGGTTCCAACAAATTTCAAGTTAGCAAACGTAATGCCGTTACTCAAAATAGAGAGAAAGCCAGGGACTTCTGGCCAGGTGGCCTGACAATAATCATTGGGAAAATGCTGGAATCGATTATTAAGGAAGTCTGAAGAATGAACTCAAAACATTGTATAATTATGAAAATACAGCATAGTTTCACAAATGGGAAATCATGTTTGCAAAATTATCAGAGCTTTTTGAGGATGTAGCTGAATGTAGATTAAAGGGAACCAGTGATGTAGTGTATCCAAGTTCGTTAATGATAGAAAGCTAGGTGTGAAAGTAAGCTGTAAGAACGGCGTAGAAGCTGAAGAAATATAAACCAAAACATAATACTGCTGGAAATCTGAAATAAAAGCAGAAAATGCTGGAAGTAATTGGTAGGTCAGGCAGCATCTGTGGAGAGAAACAGATTTGTTGTTTCAGATCCAAGACTCTTGTTCGCCTTCTTTGCTTTTTATTATCCTTCTTGTAAAGATATATAGACACGTTAAGTGAATGGAGAACAAAACAGCAAGTTGAGTGTAATGTGGGAAAGTGAGAGATTGGCAGTAAGAATGGAGAAGCAGAATATTTTGGAAAAGGAAGAAGACCCGTATGTCTTGTTGCTCAAAAGGACTTGGGCATACTAGATAGAAATTTATTGTTACTTGTATTTGTGAAAATATAGTAAAATGTAAGGAGACTGGGGGTGGGGGTGTGGCTGCCACAACTGTCAAGGACCCGGGGGAGGCCTTCTCTGACTGCTGAGGACCGGAGCCTTGTCGAAACTGCGGAAGACCTGGAGCTGTCCAATTGAAACTGCCACACCTCATCTGCAGAAAGAAGATTGCTTTATTTGATACAAAAGGTGAAATTAAGAAATAGTAATAAGAAGAAGTAACAAAGAATGAAGCAGCCAGTCAGCTAAAAGGGAGTGGACTGGCTGGTAGTCCGAACACTACCTAACCTGCCCCCTCCATCATCTTGCATGACTACTACAAGAAACAGAGTATGCAGGTAGAGCAAGCAATTAGTGATGTTTGCCTTTATTGAAAGGGTATTGACACCCAGAATAGGGAAGTTTTGTTACAGGTGTACAGCATTTTGGTGAAGCCAAACCAAGTACAATGTGCAGCTTTGGCCTCCATATTTAGGAAAGGATATATTTGTAATGGTGATGGTACAGAAAAAGTTCAATAGATTGGATCCTGTGATGAGAGAGTTGTCCAATATTGAAATGCAGAGTAAATTGTGCCAATGATCTCTGGAGTTTAGGAGGATGAGAGGTGATCTCATTGAAGCATACACAATTATAAGGGCTTGATAGTGTTGAGCTTGAGAAGTTGCTTCCCTTGGCTGTGGAATCTAGAACGTGTGGGCAGAGTCTCCGCAGAGGGACCAATCATTTCGGACTTGGATGAAGAGAAATTTCTTTACTCTTAAGAGTTGTGAATCTTTGGAATCCTCCACCCAGTTGGTTGTGGATCCTTCATCATTGAAAATATTTAAAGTTGAGATGGACAGGTATTACCCTTTTTTTCCAGGAAGCTGAGGGATGTGAAGAATGAATAGCAAAGTGTGGTTTATTCGGATGATTGGCCATGATTGATTTGAATGGCGCAGCAAACTTAAGGGGCCATATTGTCTACTGTTACTTGAGATCTTAAATATATCTTATGTTCTTCAAAGCTCTTATTTTATGAAGTAAAAACAGGAAATGCTAGAAGAAAATCAGTCAGTTAAAATTATTTCTGCAGACACAGTTAAAGTTTCAGGTCTCAGACCTTCCATGAGGTTCCTCCGCTTTTGGCTGTTACCATTATATATAACATTAGTGAGACTTTGAAATCATGTATTGTTTGATGGAGTTTCTAGGGCACCAGTGCATCAGAATTCTGCCCTTTGTGATAGTGGTGAGATACATTACATAGACAGACAGTACAGTGTATAAACCTTCAACACCTCTTGCACTTGTTAAGAGTGGATAGGTGGTGGGTTACCTGCATGCTTTCTTGACTAGAGAAAGGTATATTTAGCAGGCGACAGTGTGCAGAAGTAAATAGCCCTTATAGTGGGAGAGAAATCTAAGTTTTTGTCCAGTCGTAGATGTACTGTTTTATATTTCGTCTCCTATAATCAATAATTGAATTAAAATGAGTACAATTGGATAGCTTATCTCAACAGGAATGTTTAAAATGTAAAGCAGAAAATACGTGAACTTTCAAAAGTAAATCTTCCTTTTTATAATTTGACAGATTTAAAATAAACAGATTTTTTTTCCATGGATAATAAAACTTTCCCATCAGTACCACAATGTATGCACTATCAAAATAATGAATGCATGGGAGTGATTTCTCATCTGGGGGTTTGAACCGTGGTTTAAAACCCCTTGAGCTTGTTTGACCTTATGATGTCATCTGAAGCTCTATATATGATTACTGTCCTGTAAATCATTTCGAGTAATTATGAGTCTTTATCAATAAGCAAAACTGGGAGATGTGGTTTTATTTTCCTTTTTAAAGCCTCAACATTGGTTTCTTTGTGTATTTGGTCCTTACACAAAGGGCTTATTCTTGATGTATTTCTGAATTAATGGCTTAAATCATTTGCATGCATCTAAATAAAGATCTATACCACAATTGCCTTTAAGTGTTGTTCTTTTGTACAAATGTTTGGTTTAGTCTTGCTCTTAATTGGAAAATGGTGACCTTTTTGTCAGCAAGAAGTGCCTATTTGCTGGTTTTTCTGATAGAAGTAAACTTTACATTGACTCTCAGTCTTGTAACTGCCAAAAGAAAAATGATTTTTTTTAAAGTATTACTTGTAAAGAAGACTACCAAATTCCGATGTGTCTGCTTGTTTGTGGGTAAAATAAATTTTAAATGTACTGTAGTCATTGCAGAGGATCAGAGACTTTGGTGCTGCAACTACCAGTGAAATTTTATTCCTGAAGGTCTTTATACTACTGCAGGGGACTCTGTCACAAATTATTGTGGCTCGATCCCTTAGAAACAGAAAAAGCATGTTACTTCAGCATCTGTGACTGACTAATGATGGCTAGGCTTTTGGCTTCCCTTGAGCCACAAAGCTATTGCTGCCTTTAGAGAGGAAAAAGCGTAAGAATAAAGGGGAGGGATGAAAGGGAGTCACAAATCTGTGGCCTCGGAGATGTATGACTGCTAGGCTGGTTGTCTGCGTGGTATGATAATCCATTTTGATCTCCTTAGTCTTAATTGTCTGCTAAAGACAAATGGGCAGTAAAAGTTCATCAGTTTCATCTTTGCTTCTCAATTATGGGCAGAATAAATGAGCCATCACTACAGAAGAAACCTTTCTTTTTGACACGGAAGTAATGCAGACCTGATGTGTTGTTAAAAGTCTTTCTCCCTCATTATTTCAGACTCTTAGTGCTGATAGATCTCAGTGTTTCATGAAAAATGTAATCTGAAATGTAAATAAGTTGTTTGATACAAAGAGATGATGTAACAAATGCATTTTCCACATTTTAGAGGACTTGCTAATATTATTTACAGGGTGGAATCTATTCTGTCATTTGTGTGAACATATTTATGGCAGTGACATTATGATGTATGGTAGATTAATACATAACTTAGCTGCTACCTTATTTGAGAAAATATAAGCATTCAGCACAATAATAAGTTT